GAGGGCTATTAGTGGGCTATGGATTGTGCAAATGCCAATACATTTGTATGTTTTACCAGGAGAAAACGGTTGGTTGTACAATACCAGCGCGCTCACGCCTTCTTTTGGAATGAATCAATGATATCAATGTTCATATTGACTTTTTAGGCTTTTAATCTGTATAACTTTTAGATACAGGGCCCCTATGGAGACCAACCTTAGAGCTGAATGGGCCAACCTGTCTAAATAAAGGTTACTTACTTATATGTTCACCGCCCACCGACGCAGCACAACAATTTCTTTACGGATCATTTCCCTGATTTGTTTAATATACACGTTTGGATGACTACGTTACAGCACTAGAGAGATTGCCAAGACATAAAGTTGCATTTATGTGAGAACGTTCCTTGGGTGAATTCTTTGTCAGTTTCTGTACAACTGTATTCTTTTGTTCAACAGCTTCTGAAAAACAATGTTTGTGTTATCTTCGCCGGACAAAAACATTTCGACAACGGAAACTTTACGATCCCACAACTGACAGAGGAATGGCTCGATGTGATCCACGGACCACCCAAATCAGCTTAGCCCAGCTTCAAGGAGTTTTACTAGACTTATTAAGCTTTTATTTAATCATGATTCCAGTCGTTTTTGTTTTCTGTTAAGCAATTGTTGACGGAAGGTTCTGTTCTTTGAACATTTTCTTAAGGACCTTGTGTAAATACAGCCTAAATGGTTCTGTATTATAGCTAAATGGTTCTATATTTTATCTCTTCAAATACACTTACTCTTACTTCTTTCAAGGTATTTTAATCCCTTACAAAACTAAACAAAGGAGAAGTGGCAATTTCTCTTTAACATTACACGTTTCCAATTTTTTTTTTAAATACCAACATACAATGACTTACATGGTGATTAAAAACGCATCAAAAACCAGATACAGTCCCAGAATCCCCGCCTCTGTATAAACACGACCCCAGATTACGATTGTAAGCATCCTAAACCACAGCAAATTTTAATGAACTTATTATCCCTTAACCAAACAGAGACTTATTATCCCAGGTCTTTTAAAAGCCAATGGAAATCTCCACTCTCTTGGTCTTTCTACTTTAGCTTATGTTCGAGTGTATTCATAAGAGGCTGGCTACATTCGGGACACATTATTGTTCGTAGACACAGTCACAAATATAAATAAGAATTGACTGATGATAAACTCTACGCTTCGCGACACACACAAAGGAATTGTGCGCCTTTTCGATAAATTGGCGTTCGCAACGAAGTTCCTCTCCACTTGTTTTCTGTAGATCCAAAGGAGGGTTTTGGGGAAACGGTAGGTTTTTCATCCATTTACGCACAATTCATTAATAATCTCAAGATTGCAGTCACAAATAGAGTCTCACGGAGTTAAAGTGGTCACCATGAATTAAGTCAATAATAATTGATTACTAGGGTAAAAAAAAAAAAGAAAAAGAAAAAGAAAAAAACAAAACAAAACACGACAGCGGTAACAATAAAATACTTGGGAAAAAAACCAAAACAAACAACAACAAAAAAGAACAAAGATAAAAACAAAACAAACCTTAAATTAAAAACAGAAGAGACAAAAATAAGGTTGGCTGTGAATGAAGACGATTTAGATGGATTGCCACTACTAATTAAAGCTTGAAACTTGGGATTGAATTAAAAATAGTGCGAATGGCACATTTGTTTATATGCAGGGATAAGAAGCTGCCCTTCATCAAATTCATGTTGACAGTTCATGAAGTCTTTCGATATGATCTACTCACCAACGTCGAAAAACACGTTTTTAAGAAACAATTTCCAGTATTTGTTCTAGTGTACACCTTTGAAAGAAGCTGTTTTTATTTTAAATCATGCTTTATTTATTCATCAATTAATAAATATATGTTATTTATTGCAATTTTTATGGTAAATGAGAAATAAAATCATAAGCTATCATATGACTTCGATTGTTCTTGTTTTAGTTTGTCGTTATATACCAATATGGCCCTCTACAATTGTACATTTAGGATTAGTACAGTTCAGCTTAGACAAGTTTAGACTGTTTAAATAGTTTTCTGCTTAAAAGTTGCTTGCAAAAGAGCTTATGTTCACTCAAATAAGAAAGCTTCCCAAGTTTCTGTCACTGGCCCCTGCACATGCCCTTGCCATCATTATTCTCCAGGTATTCTAAGCCCTGACAAAAATAAACAAACGATACAAAAAATAGCCTCGTTTTTTCATCAAGTTCCTAAAATCAAATTGTTGCGAAAACATACCAAATGACTTACGCATAGATCAAAAAACGCGGAAACTCACCGTTCCTACAATTCCCACGTCTACATAAACAGGATCGCAGCCGGATTACCACTATAAGCATCTCAGATAGTAATTTTTCATTGACTTAGGACTGAGCCAATCTCTTAACAAAACAAAAACATAATTTCCCAGGTCATATAGACGCAAATGAAAATTTCCACTCGATACTTAAGCTTACGCTCGAGAGTAGCATAAAGAGGCCGACCACTTTTTTAAAGCGATTTTCATGGTGTCAAACGCACAAATAGAAAATACGAAATAAAAATAACACCTTAGTGAACATAACATATTAAGAGGAATTTGGAACATTCTGGGCCAATTGCAGAGTAACGCCGTTTTCGTATTTGTGTATCATAAAGAAAGATAAAAAATATTTTACAGTTGACAAAAGAGAGCAATTCTTTTGTCGGGAATTCTGGCTCAGTTTGGTCTTTAAAGCTACTTTACAATTTTGTGTGCAAATACACACAACAACACGGGCAACATGCCAGCGAATTACACTAGTCAGAACCGGTTTTAACTTGTTTACTTATTAAGGTTATCGACCCCTTTCTTCTCCCCTAATTCCCCCCTCTTTTTTAAGCGCTTTTCCTTCTCCCTAATTTACGTTGCCTGCAACACAGGCTATATCGACAATAACAAATTTTCTTTTCATCACCTCTTAAGCTAGTTAACTATCGTACAATAAATCCTGCCTCATCCCCAGTCACCTCGTTTGAGACGCAAGAGAAGAGGTAGAAAAAAAATATTGCTCTGTATTTTGTGTATTTCTCGGAAGACAAAAAAAAAAAAAAAAAAAAAAGAGAATCAACTGATCTCGTTAAGATACCCAGCCGTATTACACAACATTCAGCAAAACAACCTTGAGTCTTTTTATATCATGATGTTACGTTTGATCACAATAAAATATCAGTGTATAATACTAGTTATGCAACCCCGGCTTTCGATTGGTATACCGTGGAATATCCCACGACTCACTTGTATTTTCTCGGTATAACCACGAGTCTTCAGGCAAGTGTGTATACCAAGAAAATACAAGTGACATGTGGGATATTACATTGTATACCACGAGAGGGCGTTGCACAACTATTTGATACCACGCCATACAAAATAAAATGGCCAACAAAGTCAATGCGACATACGCGCAGCGCATGATGGGAAGTTTGGATGCAATACCGTCGAATATACAACGCATATTGTATTCTGTTGGCTGTATTTTCAGTTGCATGGTATAAAAGCATGTTACCTACAAGTAATGTAATCAATCTATGATATAAGGTACTCTTTGTTAATTTAAGATCAAATACTATTCTGATATTAAGAAAAAAAAAATGTTATGTTATGTCTTTTTGTCGTGGTGGTCGTTCCAGATTGCTTTTAACCGATTGTACAAGCCATTCGATTCCAGTACTTATCCCGTCTCTAGCAAACAAAAAAAAAAGAAGGAAGATCTTTGAATTACATTCAGTTATTCAGTAAACCGACAGTATGAGAGATGGTGGCAAGTGATTACACCTTTTAATCATAATTATGCGGAGTTATTGCTTCTCAACCGGTTACACGATCGTACATTTAGAAGGGTAGTCTCCAGTTTAGTATAACATTGAAAAATGAAAAATGTGACATGATAAAGAAGAGAAAAAGAAAACAAACTGATTGACAGTCTGAAAGTCCGTGGGGGAAGAAAACATTATTTTGATATTTCTGAGTTATCAATGTTGTACATCTCTTAGGAATGGACTGAAAGTATGAAATCTTATTTTGCACTAAAACCACTTCAATATTGCTGTCTTTTTAAGCAAGTGACAGAAAATAATTATGTACATGTACTAATTTAATAAATGGTTATCATGTCCCTGCTAGTTTTTAAAAATAATTTGGTTTGTACATGTAAAAAGAATTGTTGCTGTTAAATGCATTGCTCTCGGCAAATACAGTTAAAGTACATTGTACATGAATTCGTAAAGAACAGCTGTACATCAGCTGTGCGGACACAGGATTTTAGAAAAGGGGGTTCAAGATACTGAATGCCAAAGGCAGTCCCCTGTAGGGTGGTCCAAGGGGATCCTCCCTCAGAAAAGTTTTAAAATAATAATTATTGATGTACGTACATGTATATATTTACATGTACTTTAGGAGATATATTTCAAAATTAATTAACTACAAAACCACGTAGTGTGTGCATTGTTTTGTGTAGTGTATCTTTTAGGCACCAGCTTGAGGGTAATGGTTTTGTGATAATTACATGTAGGTGCAGTGGACCACCAGCCCTCACCCTAACCTGCACATGGAAAAATAATGAACATCCATTTGCTCATTGCACGTGTGAAGTTACAACCTCTAGTCCGCATACATGTACATGCACAGGCATGGAACCTGATACTTTAAAAGATCTCTTGGTAACAAACTTGCCTACATGGTATCAAAAACACTTGATTGTCACTCAAACAATCGTTTTACGAATAATGTAGTGCTCATAATATAATTATATAAGATTGTCAGTGATGCCTGGAAACACCCAGTACTGAAGTCAGATCGTAAACCCTTTTGTCCAGACCTTGATATGCTAGCTAGTAAATTATCAACAAAATTATCACAACAAATGCCAATACGAAAATTCACCATTTTTTTTCTTGGACATGCATACATGTACAAATATATTTACTGTCAAATACATGAAATAATGTGATCTTTCTTTAATTTACCCATTAAGAGCAGACGTTGGCTGAATATAGTAATCCCGGTGTCCTATGCCTGGTGATTTGCCATTGAATATGCTTTTAATAGCTTCCACTGCAAGAGAACCCTAAAAAAGACAAAATGCAAAGAATTAATTAATTTATATATAACCAGACATAGCATTCATTCTTTATTTTTTCCAAGCGGGCTTGGCAACGAATCTTGCAATCTGATTGGTTCTTAGCTTGGTCCGGCTTTTCCTATCTACACATGTATACATACATACAAACATAAAAACACTATTGAAGCTCCCTAAGTGGGGTTTTCAGCTACAATATAAATGAAAAATTCAAATTGAAAAACTATAAAAATACAAATTGAAATGCTTTAATACATGTAGCAATAAATACATCAAAGATAGAAATACTTTTTTCCATATACTAAAGATTCAAAGATACAATAAATAAGAAACGATGTTTCATTCAACCTACTAAAATATCACTTTAAACTATTTAACAAATGTGCAAATTGACGCTTGAAGTTCTTGGGTCATTTTAAACACTTATCCCTGATCACAGGCATAGTAACACATATACGATGTTTGTGTGGAAAAGGTCAGGCAGCATTTTCAAGACTTTGGTCACAGTTATTCACTATACAGGCCTCCCAGCTAGCAAATAACATTATCACAGGAAGGGTTTTCTCTGGGCTGTTGCCTGTTTTAGAGGTTCTGGGAATATTCATTGTCATCCAAAAAAGTTTTTTCCTAGCTATTTATCAACATAGCAAAAAATAGACCTGCAGATCTAGTTTTCACTCAGAAATCAGATGGGATTAGATGAGATAGAGCGGTTTTCAATTGAGTGTCGAAAGTAATTAGACAATTACTTTGGTTTTGGTTTTGGTTTTACCACAATTTGAGATTGGCTGAGTAGTCTAATTGGTAAATAATTGGTTTGGTTTTGGTTTTACGACACTCAATTGAAAACCGCTCTAAGAGTGGTAGTGGTTGTGGTTAAACTTTATTTAGCCAGGGTGGCCCATTCAGTGTCATGGCTAGTATCCAGAGGGGACCTGGTAAAAAATATTTACATTCATAAAAGTACAAATTAACAAGAGTATGGCTCCAATAATTGGTCTATACATGCTGTCCAGAGGAACAGATGAGGACATAATAGCTAGAAGAAAGAGAGCACAACAAGCTTTTGCAATGCAGCATAATATTATTACGCTCAGCCCGGTTTGGAGAAGCAAAGACTTACGCACTGCTACCAAAATCAAACTTTTGAACACTAATGCAAAGGCAGTTTTATTATAGGGCTCAGAGACATGGAGAGTGACAACAGTACTCTCAAAGAAAGTATAAACTTTCATCAAGAAGTGTCTGAGGAGGATTCTGAGGGCGACCACCAACAGAGATTTATGATTAAGAACAGATCAAGAGCGTGCAGTGTACCTGCATCAACACCACCATTAAGAGAAGACACTGGAAGTAGATTGGGTAGAGCTGTATACATGCACACTATGGTGGGATGAGAGGAACATAACACGCCGCATGATGGATTGGAACCCACGACGCACGTGTACAGAAACATGGCAGAAGCATCCAGAAAGACCTACAGTAATGGAGATCAACATGAGTTTTTGTGAGGCCAAAAGAGCAGCTCAAGACTGACAGAGGTGGAAGGCAACTGTGACCGCCATACATGTAGGCCAGCCCATGGAACAAAGAGGACTAGTTAGATGATGATGACATGCCATCCTAGTTGTTAAGGGTGTACTTGGGAGAGACCCGATATTAACCAGCATTTGATGTACAGTACACGTATGTGTTATGTTGTTAAAACAACAAATACAGCATGTGTAATACACACCTCCAAATCTTGTTTGTTCATGAGGATTAACAAAGGAATTCCCTCCAAATGAGGATCTTGAACTACACCATCTGGCATAAAATACAAGTGCATGGCAAGACATAATTAACTTTATAGAAATACTTAATGATATCTACAATACTGAACTTATATTGTACTACATCCAGTATAAACGAGGACCCTATAAACCCATAACTGGCCGATCCTATGGTATATTGCACAGCACAGTAAAACTGGAACCTGGAGTGTGTAGTTCCATTAAAATATCTATAGCATACCCACCCCATGGAAGGTCAGTGGGAATTCTGAGGGGGTGAGGGGTCTGAAATCTAATGTTTTTTGAGGAAAGTATAGAGTCAAGTTAGCCTGATATTTCCAGAGGGGTGAGAGGGTTCAATTGAAAAACCTTTGGTTGGGGAGAGGGTTAGATATAATCTGGCCCAACAAAGCAATAAATTACATTGTATAAACATAGGCAACCAAAAATATCATCTGATAACTTTACTTTGTATCTTGAACTGAAAATGTTTTAAAATATTCTGATAATTTACGTTACTCTTGTTTTGAACTTAGGTTTCAAGACCTTGTATGTTAATGTAGATTTACATGTACTGTAACATTATAACATGTATATGAAAACAATTTGAATTCTTTCCGACACGTTATTTGCATATATTTAATAAATCATCTCATATTATTGTATGTCTTTCGTGATACAGTAGTAAGGCCCAGTTCAGAGGAACGTTTCATGTTTGAACAGCTGAACTTTTCATGAGCTGACCCTAATACATTGAATCAAGTATATGGAAAGTTTGACCCTCAGCCATTCGTCCCACCTAGCTCAGTCAGGAATTTCAGCTTTGAAATGGCTTTGATTCAGATGTTGAACCTTTTGTGTTGAACCAAACCTAATGCATAAATTATTATAACATATTTTACAAGCAGTTTAAACTTTGCCTCAAAACTGCTGACATTTACATGTAGATGTGTTTTGACTCAAACTACATAAAGTTTGGTGAATTAACAGGAGTACTGCCTTTTGATAATTTTGGTCGATTGGTCCACATTCAAATTGAGTTCAGCTCATGAAAAGTTCCGCATCTGAACTTAAGGCCTGAGGGTGTTAAATGAATTACACTGTTCCTCAAGTTGACACTGTTAATGATTGCCAATATCATAATAATACAGCATACTAACTGAAAGCCTGATGAGATTCCTCCATTCTCTTCTCATCAGTGGAATCAATTACAAACACAAGACCATGGCATTCTTCATAATACTATAATCCAAAAACAAAACATGTTAGAGAAATTGTAGAGATCTTCAACATTAACAAGAGGTAAAAAAATATATTATTTCAGATTGTAGTCTCACAGGATTGTAGAAGATAATGTTCCTTCATAAAATCTTATGAGGATACTTACATGTAACAATAATTGTTACATGTAAGTAATTATTATTCCATGAGCATGCATTGGATATGAGGTGGTAGATAGCCAACAAGACGCATAGGACTGAGTTGGCTATGATCATCTCATATCCAACAAGTGCGAGTGTGTTAGAGTAGAACCCTGGTAGCTTGAACTCTGAAGGGAAACGGAAAACTGTGTGAGTTAGCAGGGGTTCGAGTTATCGGGGTCGATTAAAATATTCAATTTTCCAGGCTAATAATTAATAGTTTATTGATTTTCAGCACTTTGGTATACAATACAGTGCAGATTAAAGTTATTTCACGAGAAACTAATACATTTTGTAACAACTGTAACCATTATGTATTCTTATGACAATGCAATATTGTAAATGTAACTTTGCTTATTTAATACACTTAATTTACATGTATGTTCCCTTTTGCATTGGGGTCGTTCTATCATATCCGCAAAGTTCTTATTGCGTAGGCACAAAAAATGAATGCAGTGTCTGCTGTCGTAGGGAGCTCCTGAAGATTCTTTCTGATAATGCTTCTATTTGCTGTACATGTACATGGCTTCTGGTTTCCTCTGCACCCTCGTTCACCAGCAGACTGTATGAATTCAGCACATCAATTGCAAATCTGACTTCCCTTGCAGTGATCTGTTCGTGGCACTAATTTACTATCAAATTGCTCCAGTCTTTGCTCTAGTGTTAGAATTCGATCACATGATAAGAAAAGCTAATGGGCTTTCTCAAAGGGCATCTGTGGCGAGTTATAAGAACCAGAAATTTGAGTTGTCTGGGTAAATTTTGATCAAGGGAAACAAAATTTAGTTTGAGTTAGCAAGGTTTTCGACTTAACTGAGTTTGGGTTAACTGAGTTAAAATGACTGAAAAGTTGGATCAAATCCGAGGGAATTGAGACTCAGTTTGAGTTAGCAGGGGAGTTCGAGTTATCCGAGTTTGAGTTACCGAGGTTCTACTGTATTAAAAACACCCCCAAAATATATATAGAAAACTAAAATAAAATAAAAATAAAAATGCCAAAAAACAAATTCTGGGTACACTTACATGTACTATACAAGTATTTGTAGGGGATGGTATACATGTAATGGCTCAAAACCCATTCATGATGACTTAAGAAGCCAATGAACACTCTCGAATTGCATTACCCAATGATCCAGCTATTAACAAAATGTAATATCCACATTGCCCTTGTCGCTTCACATGATTGATATTAATTAAATCCTTGATTTTATTCAGTCCTAGGAGGATAACCAAGATATTACACTGCTAACAGTCAAAACCAGTCTTGCTATGAACTAATACCTTGTCCCACAAGGACTGCAACTCTTGTTGGCCTCCTAAATCCCAAAATATCAACTTCACATGGCTCATGTTAATTTTTGCAACTGCAAACAGAAAAATTCTGAAGATTTACCTTAAGTTTACAGAAATCAAATGTCCCAAAATACAAAATTAGGATGTATAATTTATAAATGCACGAGAAATGATTTTCAGGAAATCACAATATTAATGGCTCACTGTTGGCATTCTGTTTATTTCAAGGTTGAGTTTGACCCAAAGAACAACAACTGTTCACCTGTCAATTATTGACCTGTAGGTGTACAGATGCAATGTACAGGTAGTTATTGAGAGATATCAGGAATCAGAAATCGACAGGATCATGCACTTTATTTCAACAAAACTTGCATTCATGACACTGTCAATACACTATGTATATTGCACATGATGCATGTCAGTTGGTGAAAGAATTGCAAGTTCTTTAAAGAGGAATCAAGATCTACATTTATGACCTTCTGCCTATTGGTTGGATGCCCTACCACTGACCCACAAAAGACCTGAAAAAACTAAGACCATTTAACTACATGTATGTGTACGTGAAATCTGGTAGAACAAGTTCATATAGACTACAGCTGTAGATCTGACTGTCAAGGAAAAGTTGAACAGCTCTTACATCCTGTTCCCCAGCTGAGAAGTCAGCAACAGCTGTGTTACATGTGACTTGTTGTTTGAATCTATACACGTAACCTTCCTTTAACTTACTTGTACATTAATTTTGTATTCCATTTAAGTACATGAGAGCCAAATAAAGTACTGTATACAAGAACATTTTAAAAAGTAGCTTAGACAAACTTTTCCTCTCCACACAAATATACAATATTTATCATACTTGTAGAGGATGGACTCTTTTGTTGTCAGAGCAGTCACTTGAACATGTTGCTTTGTAAAAGTAACTTACTGTTAAGTCCCACTGTTGTTGTGATCTTCTCAAATGGCAGGCCGGGGTAGTTGTTTCCATACCTTCGTTTTATTTGTTCCAGGAGAGTCTAATAGAATATTTAATTTAGTGACCTTTTAGTAAACATTTGATGTAATTCTGAAAGTACAGTAATAGCCATGTGAGAATCTGAGCTTGAGGCACGATCCAATACAATGTACCTGTATAGACTGTACTTGCCCCTTTCTGCTTGGTGAGAGACGAGAGTTAACCTCTGTACATAACTGCTTGATTTCTTAATGTGCATGCATGCACAAACTACCTACATGTATGCATCTGCTCTGTCAGGTGAAACATTTGTACACACAATAAATTGGTTTTGAATCGTGGTGCCAAATTGCTTGAATTCTGACTGTGATAAATCAGTTCAGATATTTTGGAAATTTCTATGAAGCATTATACAATAACCCACGTTATTCTCACATTTTGATTGGTTCTCGCTTATGATCTGTTAGAGGACAGACGCGTGATTGACATCATCATTTCAAAGTTTTTTCCTCCTTGTTTCAAAATGGCAGAAAGTTTTGAGAATTAAGATAATATTTAAGAGACGGGGCAAAAGATAAGGTACAAAAGAGTCTTCTTGAGGCTTTGAACAGGTACGAGAAGCAGGAGGAAGAAAGATAAAGCCGTTTCTTTTTTAGAAAATGACTCCGAAAAAATACTCGAGCAGTCTAATCAGCAGTCAAGTGAGACTAAACCAAGCACAAAATTGGTCTTGGTAAGCCAAGAACCATTGCTTTATCTTGAATTTAACAAACCCAATAAACAAAATGTTTATGAGATTAATTTATTTAGAAACTTCAACTTTTCTCAGTCTTAAAATAATTTTTGAAACACTGATCGATGTCAGGAAAGACACATCAAAACATCAATTCTTAAAATCAGTTAAAATAAACACATAACCTTGCTCTCTGATGCGAATGTCCAAGTCTGTTTCAGGGCACAGCAGCGAGCAAAGTATAGCTCACTACAGCTCACGGCCAACTGTATTGCAGCTGAAAGGTATCTCTGACACTATTTAAAACTGATTTGAGAATCACCAACCACAGAGGACATAAATTTCCACCGTCACCAACCCTCCTTTCATTCAAAACTCGAATTGAATGGCCTCCAGATTGACTGCAACTGCAAGTTTTCTGAGCATATTTTTCAACTCCTGTAATATTCAAAGCAATGTCCAAACTTTTCACTCACTGGGCTGTTCTGATTACAAAAACTGACTTGACTTTTCCAGCATTTTCTTTAAGACTTGTAGATTTCGCAGCTCAATTCTGCTTTCAATGTAAGTTTTCATTCCACGAGAAGCGACGCTAGAGTCAAGTTTGACAGTAGCATGATTTTCCTAGACCAATCACAATTCTTTGCTATGTATAGCAACCAATGAGATTGCATCATTTTGTATAGACAATAGATTACATCAAATGACTTTTTTCACGTTCGCCAAAGTGGGCAAAGGCCAGCTTTTGAATTATGTTGAAAGATTTTTGAAATAAAAAAGCTTTATCTGTAGTAGTTTGTTTCGTTATTATATAAAACAAATACATTCCATGTTGACATACGTCTGTTCAGTAATAGATCACAGAAGACATCAAAATGTGGTAAGAACAGTGACACACTCTTCTATCGCCTCGTGTGCCACTTATTTGTTCTTACCACATTTTGATGCAATCTGTGATCTAATACTGAACAGACGCACGGCAACATGGAATCTAATTGTTAACTTTAAAGCAACAAAATTGACTTTATTCGCAACCATGATATCCAGCACCTGCTTTGCAAATTACAAGCTACATGTACTTCTACAGTAATAAACAGACTGTTTTCAGTGGAATATAACCTGCCTGGTAACACTCACATCAGGCTCTTTTGACATTAATAGCTTGTAAAGGTGAATTAATGTACAATAATGGCTGCTGGAATACAGCCTTATGTGCCACCTACATATAGGCACAAAGCGGATTATGCTATTGTAGTGTATCCTAATGGTTGTTGGAATGGTACAAACAGCAACTAGAGATCAAAGATTGCCAGTAATGGTATTCATCACACACTAGAAAAATTGATGTGTTTGTGGAGCATCCATGTCAGGGACAGTATTACCAAGTTATATCTTGTAACCAATCACAGGGCAGTGGATGTTGCTGGCACTGTACTTTCGTAAATCAACAGCACTTTGAATCCTATATATCATGTGTAAGGTTTTGTATCGGTTAAAATTTGACAAAATAAAGTATTTTTAATTCATTCTACCTTGATTGTAGACCACAGCAAACAATCAATTGAGTGGTTATGAGCACAGGTTTCCTCTCAACTCTCACCAAATAGAAAGAGTGGGGAATCTGTTTCTTATTTAGGGGCTACATGTAGTTTACAATAAATCAACACTTGTTAATTACAATGTATACAATAATCACACAGGCACCATTATTGTGAAAGTTGCTCCTTTGCTTCATTTAAGAACCTCAGTAGAAGAGAATAATATAAATAATACTAAACAGTTTTGTAAATCTTTACCTAAGTAGTTGAATAGTAATCTTATTGTATATTAATGTTCTAATATGAATATAGATGTGGCCTGCCTAGATTAGCCTAGACTACCTGCGGGTTCACGCTGTTGTCATAGTCAAGTTTTAAAGTTGATTAGTTTTTAATAATAAAGTGTTTAAGTGTAAAGTGTATATATTTTTGTAAAATTGTAAATGTGTGAGTAACAAATAAAGTAAAGTTGTTTGTAATAATAATTAAATGTCTTTATTCATTCGATACAGTACGTATCAAACGTTACATAAATTATGAAAAGGACTAAATAAGGCGCTTACAGTAAGAATTAAACATGTAAATTAACATAAGATTGCCAGTCCGTCCCATGATTTATAAATCGACGACCTACAAAATTCGTCTAAAGGTCTCTTAACATATAGATTATCAAGTAATTCATGACCTTAATATTACCATATCATACAAGGTCAGACTTACCGACTTTCCAGCATTGTCCAAGCCTAGAATTAAAATACAGTATTCATCTCTCTGGAAAAGGTACTTCCAAAGCCCAGACAGCAATGCAAACATTCTACACAGCCAAATTTAACCTTCAACTACAAGCACGCATGTATCGTCATGCTTTCTCTCCAGTATTCTATATGTTCCGTGTAACAAGGAAAATACTCAGAGAAAACCCAAAGGTTTAGAAGGCAGTTCTAATGGAACTTAATCGCAGCCTTGATTTGCTACACGACTTCTGTGGCGGCCATGTTAGATTTTAACGCTAAAAGACTGGGGACTACACGTGTGGTTACTCATGTCTCACATGAGCAATACCGCAGACCAGTCGCACCCGCGATGTTGGCTGCGTTCTACGCGTTCTCCATCTTTACCAGCATATTTTACTGCGGTGCGGTGGACAGCTGGTACACAGTTTTGGCATGGTTAAATATTTTTACAGCTGTGGCAAGGATTGATTGATCTGGAACAGCTGTAAGTCTAATGGTTCATTTCTTTATTCCATGATTTGAATCAGGAGCCATAATCGGGGACGGAGACCGTAAGCGCGCGCCATCTCTAGTATTAGGGTTGTCCCCATGATATGGGACAATAATTCTATTTTTAGAACAAATTGCGCCATCGCCTGCGGCACACGCGCGTACATGCTGCGAGGA